TTTTTTTTTCCTGAAAAGAACAACCATTGCGTAGGTCCCAGTTGTTGCAGTGACGATGAAAAAGAGAAGCTACATAGAAAATGGTTGACCTTTCCTAACAGAAATAAATCCATGTCGTCAGATCTTGGACGAGGTGGAAAAGAGGAGAGCCATCTCGCCCGCGCTGGTGCAGCCCTTCATGAGAGGCATCATGGAGGCTCCTTTTCCTGCGCCGGGAAGGACCATCAGTGTCAAAAACTTCCTCCCTGGCTCTGGGACAGAGGTGAGATCCAGTCAGTTAGCGGTTTTTGGCCATCGCCCTCACATTCACCTTTCACCTCCCCAAAGGTGATCGAGCTGTGTCGGCCGTCCGATTCTCGTCTGGAACATGTCGACTTTGAGTGTCTCTTCTCCTCGCTGAGTCTGCGCCTGCTCCTGCGAGTGTTTGCCTCCCTGCTTCTCGAGCGCCGGGTTATCTTTACTGCAGACAAGCTCAGGTTGGCCTCCGTATCTTTCCGCACCTACTTAGCTCAGTGGGTCTCCACCTGGGCCCCGCAAGCCCTAACTTTGGGATCTGTAAATGAATGATGTCATATTTTTTTAAAAGTGCATCGCGACCAGCGATGGGTGCATAATAATAGAGGGTGCCAACAGTACTTTGAATCAGACATGAAAACAAATGTAATAATAGCAGAAATATCTCAAATCTATTGGAGAAGGGACAGCAGGGTGTGGCATTGCCTCACTTGCCTACTCTGATTGCACGTCCCTGGTTGTGAGTGGAAGCAGTGCATATATATATGAATTAATTTAATTCCTTTCTATTAAACAGGGCCACGAATATTTCTGGTGATAAATATTGATGAACGATCCCTGGATTCATCATGTTTGAGATCCCCACGTTAGCTAATTTGTTTTACTCGAACGGTGCATCAGGTTCTTCGCAGCGGACAAACAAATCCTAAAGAAACTCAACAACTGTGAAAGGAAGGAATGCCATTGGCGTCCTCTTTGGAAAACTGTCTTGATGCCAGAATAGAAAGAGTCACATGGCCACACAGCTCGCTGAAGTGCTTAGAAATCTGCACCCATTCTATTAACACAGTGGCCCCAAGCTGTGCCACACCTGGCTCCGCTTCAGTGGCAGCAGCCATTGAATCAGGATTTAATGAAAACAACATGTGCCCCGTGCTTGAGCTCTGATGAACGCACATCAATGAATAGAGGGGGAAAAAAA